TATGCACTTATAATTTGTGCATCTAGTGCATTTATCATCAGCAATCTAACAAATGCTGCTTCAATAAATCAAACTATTCACGAATCCATGACCACAAAAGTTCTTATTCAATGCAACCAGACTTATAGTGCCTAACTGGTTATAAATTAGAAATAAAGCACACCCAGCCCCTCTGATTTCTGAGGACCAGCTAGAAGGGAATGGGGGTTGTTTTCTGCCAGTTTCATGCACTTACCACAACAGCCCTGATCTCCAAGAAAGGTAGGTCAAAAAGAGCCAACCATACAAATTGTCATGGTTGATGGTATAAACAACTTGGTCTTACTAATGTGCCCCCTTATACTCTTACTCTATAAGCTTATTTGAACATCTGAAAGAGCAGTTTGTATGACTACCATCAGATTACTCAACTTTAGCCTGAAATCTCCCTCAGAAGGGCAGGATAAGCCACTAAGTAGTACCCTGAGAAGATGGTAATGTGTGAATCCACTCCACCCCAAAAAACAGATCACAGTGAAACCAGACCATTTACAAACTTTTAAAGAAGGGAATTCTTCTGCAAAGGCCTTTGCTCAAATGTTCTTGAACCTGTTAACGCTACCCAGAGTCACAGCATATAGAATAACTCAGCATGACAGGAAACTCTGGACCTCACTTCACTCAATCCTCTGCCCAAAAAAGAACTCGTTTCAAAGTTAGATCAGGTTGTTCAGGGCCTTGTTCAGTCAAGTATTAAATATCTCCAAAGACGGGAGATCCCATAGCCTCTCAAGGTAGTCTGCTCCACTGACTTTGCGAACTACACTTACTGTGACTTATATTTTTTTTTCCTTCTCTCCAGCTGGAATGTTTCTTTCTAAAACTCATAACCTCTTCTCTTTTCGGTGTGCACCTCTAAGCAAAGTCTGGCATTTCTAATATCAAGACAATCTGAGTTAGCAAGTAAATTGTACTGTGAAGGTATATCATACACTTGAGCCAAGCTGACAGCTCACCGCTAACAGGGACAGACCAGCCCTGTATGTGTCCCACAATCTAATTTCAGCGCCCCTGTTCTAGCTCTGCAACCTAAACGGCTCCACAGACAGCCAATTTGTCTTGTTAACCTGACAGAAATCCATTCCCTTGTTTAGTTCCTATGTCATCTCAGCAGTACTAATATCTTTTGCACAGGGTCACAAGGGAGAAAGTGGAGCTGCAGGTAAGAACAGAGCACCCCTTTTTGGAGGGAGGCGGGTGGAACATGCTATAGCCTATGACTTTCCATTTAAGTGTCACAGAATATCATATGCTAAAAAATTTCAATCTGCTTTAATAAACTCTCAGCCAATAACTAGATAGTCTTAAGCATGCTTCCTACTTCATCCTCTCACCTCTGGGATGACATTTACATTTCTTTCCTCAATAATACAACCTATGTCTTCTGTCATCCATGAAGACAGTTATTAAAATAGTGCTTAACTAGTACTAATCATATTTGGCATTAATTACCATCTGAGTCAAACAGAACATAACAGATAGGAAATACATTTGATTAGGGATGTGATGCCAGTTGGAAATGGAGGAGCAGTAAATTCATTCAGTTCATACAGACGCCGATGTCACAGAGGCCAAAGGAGTATACCAGCCTGTTGCACTGAAAAACTTCACAGCAAAGCCCTAATGGAGATTTTATTTCAAATAAACACCACTTAGCTTTACTGGAAAGGAATTAGGTACCCCAAAAAGCATATACTTTTTATATACCAAATATTCTCACACACACCAAAAAACTGTCACAGTACCAGCCTTCCAAAGTCACATTTGGCAGCTAATGACAACATAAGTTCCATCTTTTATAAGAACTCTTCAATTATACCAAATTTCAATAATTTCCCAAACTAAGCCTTTTCAATGCGGGCTACCCAGAACCTGCTGAAAGGTGTTACTGATAACAAAGAAAAAGCATTTCCATAGACCTGTAGAGAAGCTTGGTGAGAGAACAAATTGAATCTTTCCAGTTTTTAAACATGGCACACCATGGTTTGTAAAGTCCATAAAGATCAGCAATGTATAAGATCAGGACTCATGTATCCTTTATCTGACACATAAAAAGTAATTTTCCAAAGGCAAACTCAACTAACCCAGATCAATGAAGAAAAAAAAAAGAATTATGAAATACTTATCAAAGATTTAGAGAGCTCACAGTAATCCATACCTATCCTCGAGGAAAGTTAATTAAACTCATTCAGGTCTTTTTATTAGCACATCTAAATTTCTCTAGTCCATTATTTTCCTACAGGCTCAATATTTCAGTCTGAAATCAAGACAAGTATCACGTAAATCACCACTCCCTGCTCCATCCTTTGATACACTGCACCATTTTTGATGCATCCCTAGCCAACCGCATTTTACAAGGACTGCTCCGGTATTTTACAGGATTGTCTTACCTGCAACAGACTGCCACAAGAAAACCTCGCTGAATCCCTCTACAGCTTTCTGCCCAGTTAAAACTTCTGCCATCTATTGTCAGACCATTCACAGCTTAAACCTTTCCCATTGCTCCACGTATGACTCCACTGCAAGGTGTTGACCTCTACTCATGCCCTCCACCACTAGCACCAGGTTCACCATCCTCCCTCCCCCAAGTCCTCAGATTTTTACAGAAATACCTTTCTAAGTGATCCCACCAGTTTGCTTGATCAGTTCACAGCCTCTCAACTGCCACACACAGATACTTCCTGCCCTCTTTTGCCAAACAGTGCAGTCCTCTGGCTAAATGATATTCAGATCATCACTGTCCAGGAGCAGTCCTGAAACACAATTACACCTTTGTTTTTTGCACATTTGCTAGCAAGAAAGAACAGGACCAGCGCACATAACCCTCTCAAACTCTGGGGTCTCGCAGTCACCTTTGTAAAGCACCTGGTGACCTGCACTCCTCTCCTCCAACACTCCAAAGACCCAATGATTTTTAAGAAGGAACACAGAGCAATAACCCTATTCTCACAGCTCTTCCACAGCCAACCCTGCTTAAAGCCTGACTCTGGGTCCTTACCCTCACGGAGAGCTTTTGTAAATATCTTTTGTGCAGCTTCCTCAGTAAAAGCCATCTAACTAATTCTTGTCAGTTTAGTGTTGCCTGTAAAACTTCCAAGAACAGATGTGGAAAAGAAATAAGTAAAAGCTAAAGAGCACAACAAGTCAGCTTTCATACAGTCAGAAGATGATGGGAAGAAGCTGGACAGTCAGCAAGGATCCTAACATCCATGTGCTTGCAGATCCAAGATATATTTTACCAGCAAGTTGAGCATCTATTCTTCAACAGAAGCATAAACATTATCATAACAGGCGTGTATCTTTTCACTGTATTAATACATTTATTTAATTTAACTCCACAGTAAGTTGCTTGTCTGTCTCTATGATAGCAGGGCTATGCTAGGGAAACAATGCCCACACAACTAATATTTAGTCTTCCAGCACAAATGCAAGACTTTGGAGATATCACTCCACATGCTGTTGATTTGATACTGAAAATTACCTAACCACCAGCTTCATTCCACACACATGGTCTGTCTCATAATACTTATTTCCCCTATGCAGTCAAACACTTCTGGCAATTACTGCAGCTGTGTTATTTTTGAAAAGGAGATACTTTATGAGAACATCTAACAATCTATACAATCATGTTTTGCAAAGCATGCACGAATCAAAAACAGCTCAAAGCTTAAAATGCATCACTGGTCACATACTTTTAGAAGTATTTCTGTAAAAGGAATAGTGCTTGTTGCCAAGCTATCTATCTTTACTTTCCTGCTAGGAAACACAGTCAATGTTTTTCAGGCTTTGACTTCATAAAGAGTAACACACACGCATTTTGATGGGACACCCTGCAGTAAAGCTGATCACCTGTCGCTTTACAGTCAGGCTGTTTCAGCGAGACATTGAGCTGCCATTGTTCAGGCTCTGGCCATTGATTAATTATTGATACCAGGCAAACTTTACTATTATTTCTTTGGGTTTTTTGAAACCCCTAAATATCAACAACTTACAAAGTTTATTTCTATTGGAATTGCTTTTTGGTAAGATAAGTTCTGTGGGGAAGGCTTTCAGCTGGACATTTTTGGAAGATCTGGAAGGAAGACCTGTAAACTATACTAGCCAACATACAGCTTTTCATTCAACTAACAAGTCTTTTACAAGGATGTACAACCAGGATGTCTGAACACCAGCGGTCACTGCCAGTACCCGGCTGCATCACATTTCTGATCTTTTGCCATATGGACTTAATTTTCCACGCCATTATGAAACTAAGACAACATATTCACAGTCAGCAGGAATAATTAATTGATAATAAACAGACCAGGGTGCGAAGCACCATTAATGGCTTTGCTTCAAGACCGCAGCACCGTGAACCTGTGGCTGCTCGGTGCTCTTCGGCTTAAAGGAAAACTCTGGAACGGGATCGCGCCACTCCCGAGGCTGCTTCCACGCTGCCCCCGGCGCCTGGCAGCCCGCGCTCGGCTGGGGACGGGCGCGATCTCCCGCCGCCCCTCCGCCGCCGCGGGACGTGCCCGGGGCCCCGGCCCCGCCGCCGGGAGGGAGAATTGCTCACAGGCAACTTCGGCGAGGGTCTCCGCGGCGGGCAGTGGCGGTACGGGGGCTCAAGGACGGGACGCCTCGCAGCCAAGGTGTGCAGCGCGGGGCGCGGGCAGAACCTGCCCAGGGCGGCGGGAGCGGGCGGCACATGGAGCAGCGGCGCGGCGTGCGCGGCGGGGCCGGCCAGGCTGCGGGGCCACGGAGACCGGCCGGGGAGGGACAGGGAGGGACGGAGCCCGGCCGCCCGGGCAGCGGGACGGGGCGGTGGGGGCGCCGCTCCCCGCCGGGCTGCGCCCCGAGCCCCGCATCCCAGGGGCGAGAGCGGCGCGAGCGGAGGCGGGGAGGGGAGAGAGGTCCGGCACAGGCGCCCCTCCCGGGGCGAGGCGTCGCTCCGGGCGCGGCCGTGCCGCCGCCCGCCTCACCATGAGCACTTTGGCCGCGTTCTCCAGCTGGGCGATCACCTCGGGGGCACCCCCCGCCGCCGCGGCCGCCGCCGCCATCATGGTCTCTCTTCAATGACGCGCCATGCGCTGCATTCTGGGGCGAGGCGGCCGCGCGGCCAATCCCGGCCCGGCCCGGCCCCGCCGCGGAAGCGAAGCGGCGGCGCCGCCGCAGCACCGCGACCGCTGGGCGGGGACAGCGCCCGCCCTGCGCTACCCTCCCTCCCTCCCTCCCACCTTCCTTTCCCCTCCCGCCTTCTTTTCCCCTCCCCTCCCAACCCGACCGGCCGCTTGCGGGGCCGGCCCGGCCCGGCGCACGCGGCGGGACCTGCGGAGCCGCGGGGCAGGGCAGCCGCCGCCCCCCCGTCTTGTCGAGGTCACCCCACCTGCCCGGCCCGCAGGTTGTTACGGCTGGAAGGGACCTCTGGAGATCATCTAGTCCAACTCCAACCCCCCTGCCAAGGCAGGTTCACCTAGAGCAGGTGACACAGGAACGGGTCTTAGTGGGTTTTGAATGTCTCCACAGAGGGAGACTCCACGCCCTCCCTGGGCAGCCTGTTCCAGTGCTCTGCCACCCTCTGTGTAAAGAAGTTCTTCCTCATGTTGAGGTGGAACTTCATGTGTTTTAGTTTATGGCCATTGCTCCTCATCCTGTCGCTGGGCACCACCACACCACCAAAAAGAGTCTGACTCCATCCTCTTGGCACCCGCCCTTGAGATATTTATCTGCATTTCCTTGTGCCTCCCGGTGAGCTCAGGTGTCAGTGAGGCTGCAGGTACCGGGTAGTAGCATTCCCTTGTGCCTAGCAGTGTTTGCAGACTTGTAGTGGGATGATAATCTCAGTATAAAATACAGCTTAGAAAGTCGTGGTCAGCATCTTTGCAAATGACTGGTTTATGACAGACAAGAAAACCCCAAGCCAATGTTTAAAACTGATCTAAAATGCACTTTTTCCCATGTAAATCCACCTGGAGCTCCTTTCATGTTATTGGATATGGAGTAGTTGACAGTGTCAACTCTGAAAGATGCTGAAGAGAACGTTGTTGTACCTGTAGGAGCAAAAGAACTCTCGGATTGTGCCTTCACTGGCATTTCATTTTGGTTGAGTTTGCCTTTTAAACAAATCTGATGGTTTCCACTTCAGTTTGCACACTGGAGGAGAGTTGGAGCTTTGATAGTTTCAGATGAAGCCAAAATAGGACCAGGCCAGATCTCCTTCAGATCACGTCCCTTGCAGTGCAGACCACTGAGCTGCATCAGATGTTTTGTTCCCCAGCTCCCACTGGACCACTCTGCTCTAAACAGAGCCTGGTGTTTCCAGCCATAGCTCCCCTAGCCTTGAGGAGACATTAGCTGACCTTTAGCGCTGAACTTATGCAAAGTTGGGAATTTATTAGCTAACAGAGCAGGCTGATAAGAGTGTTGAATGCTTGCAGACTGTTCACATAATCTGAGAGTACATGTGCAATGTTTCCGTGCAGGTGATACGATGTAATAGCCAAAGGCAGAGGAAAGAATCAAGGAAATGAATGACAGCAACAAATCCACCTTTCCTGTTCAGGTTGGGGTGCTCAAGAGGTCTCTACACCAACCTTCTGCTTCTTGTATCTTCTGACCAAGCTGCTTAGAGCTTTGTCCAGCAGGGTCTTGAAAACCTCTGTGAATGAAGAGAGCGCAACTTACCTGGGCAACCTGTGCCAACTTGATTGGTGTCACAGTGATGTTTTTCCCCCTTAAATCAGAACCTTCATATACGACTGTTGCCTCTCATCCTTCTGCTGTGCACCTCAGTAGAGAGTTTTGCTCTTGGATTTCCCTTCAAGCATTCTGACTGGATGCAGTTCCCTCAGCCTCTCCTTACAGGGCATGTGCTTCCACTCCCACACCAACTTCACTGCCCTCAACTGCACTCACTGCAATTTGTCAACTTCTTTTTCATACTGGGAGGCCCCAGAGCGTGATGTGGTTTTCCAGGTATGATCTAACAAGTTCTGAGTAAAGAGAACTAATAATTGTTTTGATCTACTGGCTTCATGCCTGTAAAAACAACCTAGAATGTCTTTATAAAGGTAGCCTTGCTCATCACTGTGGCACCCTGCTTACTTATGTTTAACTTGGTACTGTCAGGACCAAGTAAAGTGCATGGCTGGGCCTTCATTGCCCTGACACCATCACTTGGGACTTAAGCATGTGCAGTACTATAGGTTTGCCTGTGCCAAGTCCTGTCTCCTGTTGCCTCGGCTTATCCGTTGGCCTTCCTTGATGGACCTGTGTAATAAATAGCCTTGCCTCCAACCCTTTCTCCTGCATGGACCTTTTCTCTGTCTTTTGCTGTTCCTGGTTGGACTTTCTGTCTGGACTCAGGACATGACTCATCTCACCTTGTCTTGGACTCTCAAGACCTATGACCACCCCAGCCCGACCCGAATCCAATGGAACTGCCCCCAGGTTGGTGAGGGCATTACCTTGCCTGTCCTGTGGTCAGCTTCGGTTCCCAGCTTATCCACCCTCATGGAGTGGCCCCGCTCGTGTTGTCCTTGACACAGTCCACCAGGAGCTCCAGATTTCTTTTTCAGTGAGTGTTCAGTCTATACTGCTGCAGTGGTTATTCCATTTTAGGTAAGGTATGACCCACAGGATCCATCCATCAGTTCCCTGAATAGGCATAGTGTTTTGATCAATCTATATCTTTCCTCTTTCCCCTGAAGTTGTCTGTTTGAGCACACTTCAGCATGTTCATTAAATCCAGTTCTCTTTTACAAGTGATATGAAGATGAAATTGTGCATTTTGCCATATCATCATGAGGTGTATCTTGCCCTCATTTTCAATGAAAGGATTGAGTGGAGTAATCTTCAGTAAAAATGAACGTGTAGTCATATTTTCTGTCAGCTGTATTATAATCTTAATGTTCTCTTGGCTAGTCTTAGAAAAGCTGATTGTTCATTTGTCTTGTCAGAGTGAATGCTGAAGCTATTTCTGCTGTTGGCTAAAAAAGATGCATCATGTTCTTCCTTCATGCTTCCCTCTTTTGTGGTATTAATACTCTTAAAATAGTTCCAAGCTTTTGGACTTGTTGCCAAAAGAATATTGTTGGTAGTGGAGCCTGTGCTTCCTGCTCTAGCAGTCCTTCTCTAGCTTGCTTTCTCCCACATCTGAAAACAGCCAACTACTGCTAAAGAATAAAATGTTAAGGAAAATGAACCCACAGTTGGTAGTAAAACAGTTGTGACTTAGGTTTTTTTGGGGTTGTTTTAAATATGTAATCAGTCCTATGCATGCATACAATAAAACTAGGAAGGATCTGTTGTAGTCAGGAGCATCTAACGAAGTCTAAGGTAAGGAAATAGAAGTGACTGAGTTAGATGAAGTAAGGAAATCGAAGTCAGTAGGGAAGTGGATCACTAGTATGGAAGTGCAATGACAATTGCAAGCATGCAAGTGACAAGCTTGGGAGGAATTAATCTTTCATCACTGGTTAGGTAGGAGCTTTAGAAACCATCCTCCCATCAGGACATGCATCTTGATTTATTTTCTATGCTTGATTTCCTAGTGTTCCTAAGATTGTTTTCCAAATGTTTTTAAGAGATGTCTTCCCACATAGGCTGAACTTATATTTTCAGTAGACCTCATTTCTCTGGCCAGGATGTCCAGTTTTCTTCCTTTCCTGTGCACCTTTTTCCTAACACCTACATTCGCTGGCTGGATTTCTGCAGCAATTCCTGTAGGAAATTCTGTAAAGAAATTGCAAATAAACTCTGCGATAAATTCCTGCAATACTTCCTGATTTATTACTGGCTTTTCATCAGCACTTAGCAGAGGTCTGTTCAGAGTAGTGGTTCCAGTACTAGCTGTTCCAGTTGTGATAGTCTGTGATGCTCATTTCCAGTGACACAGGAGATCTCCCACCAGACACTTCAAAAAATTCTGATTAATTCCTTTAGACAACCTGGCTAGATTTCCATACAAATGGCCTCAGTCAAGTTGCCTGGGCATAGTAAGTCACTGTGCCCCTCTTGAGGAAAACCTTCTGCCAAAATTATTGTAAGCAAATTTGGTAGCACTGGCCTGTGCTGTTGGTCAGTAGTTCCTGTTATGAATCCAGGTCTCCATTGCCTTTCAAGTTTGGTTAAAATTTTAAAATTTCGGGAATATAAGTTTCTCTGCAAGGTAACTATTACAAACTTAAAGAATATGTATGCTTGTGCTAAAATGGTATTTGCTTTTGAGAACATAACTAGGGAAAAATCAAGTTGAAAGACTAAGACTTTTGCAGAAAGCAACTTTTTTTTTTTTTTTAAATGGGTTTAAAGTTTGAGAAAGAGCAAAATTTTGATTGGAAAGCATCTCTTTCCATACCTGATAATCAGTTTATGTTTGAGCACATTTAAAATAATAAGCTGAGAAGACTTATATGTATTTGATTTGATAAAGCAAATTCAGCCTGCAGATTTCTCTTCTGAATAACAATTCATCAATTATAGTTCATGTAGGATCTTGGAACAATCCTTTCCCTCAAGGCTCTCACACATAACTGCACTGTACAAGCCTCATCCTCCAGAGCATGCCCCAGCTCCTCTCAGCTTTTGCTTCTGGCTGCAGTCTCTGTAGTCCCCACTCATTTTTCTCTTACACCTGCTATCCTTCAGAGTCACTGAATCATTTAGGTTGGAAAAGACCTCCAAGTCCATCGAGTTCAACCTCTGACCGATCACCACCTTGACCACTAGACCATAGCAGAGTCCATACAGAGAATGGTTGTCTTCTGTTATTTCCCAAAGTCTTTTTCATGCATAAATTAAGATCCAACTCTAAATCAAAAGTCTGTGAGAGAAAGAGCTTGTCCATGGTAGGAACATTACCTTTGCTGTTGAGGAAGTGCAGGATAAATGAAAATGATTAAGCAGATTCTAGGAATTCTGGGAGAGTACCTGTCTTTGCTTGCCCATTCCTGCATTGCTCTGGTGAGGGGTTTAAACCAGGGATCATATTTTTGCTGTGTCTAATTTTATGGGTCTTGAATTGATTTCTGGGGTCTATTTGCAGCAGAACTGCAGTAAAGACACTGAGAGGTTCATGGAA